CTCTTCCTGATTTCTTATCAAGAGAATTTCTTAATTCTTAAAAATGTCTCCTTATTGTTATGAGTTGGGAACTAAGGCTCTCATTACTATTTTCAAAATATTGGAACCTTTAAACTCTGATTTAAAGGAAATTATTATTGATAAAATCTTTTATAGTCTTATTATGGAAGACTTAATTCATGATTATGAAATTATTTCTCTAAATGATGATAATTGGGAATATGACATAGAAGGACATTTTGACAATCACTAACTAAGTTGTTCAACTTTGCAGAATGGCAGGAGGAGATGAGCCTCCATGGTCACATATTCGTGGCCGAGGAGGAAAAAACAACCGAGGTAGAGGAAGATCATCCTCTTCACAGTCCAAAAGATCATCATATGATTCTTCCTTCCCTGTAATACATTTAGGAGGAAGAACTTTAATCAACTCAAAGATAGGAGAAGCTTCTTCATCAGCTTCATCCTCTGTCAATTTAAAGGATATTCCCAAAGATAGTTCATTATATGAACAAATACAAGCATATTTGCAAAAAAAGAGAGCAAAGTAATACATATGCCTCTTTAGCCAAAGAGCCTGATACGGAAAAGGTTTCAGATGAAGCACCCAAAAAAGAAATTATATTTTTTATAGAAAATCCAGATATCCAAAGGAGTAATGAACCTTGGAAAATACTCCAGAGGTATTTGACAAAGAGATTATATTTCCCTGGAGAATCATACAAGACTCGATCATACTATGAGTCCATTTTAAGTAATACAGGAAGTGCAGAATTCCAGCACTTTACTTCAGATTATAATGAGAATGTTTATAACTTCTCAAAAATGACTATTAAACAGATTATATCTATGGAAGATTGGGGAATATCCACAATGCAGGAAAAGATTGTTTCCGTCAATAAAGTAAACATGAATTATACTTATTGGGATTATATCCAAGCATTTCATAAGGTTTTTCATTATAACAATGAAAAACTCAAGCACACATGGTTTTTTAAAATATGTGCAAAAGTTTTCTCCCAGAACCTGCCAAATTGGTTTATAAACTAGTGGGCTCTTCATGGTCCTACCAAGAAGATTTTACCTAACAATTTTCTAAGTTTATATAAACAATGGGTGAAGATTTCCCCTTTCTTGATGAACTTATATGTACAAGATCATGTTCCAAATATAGAACATATAGATCAAATGTACTTCTTTATTGAATTCTCTGTACCTTGGATCCATAAATGGGTTCCGGAAGTGGGATATTCCTCCGGAAGAAAATATCCCTTGTC